AGTAAATGGAAAAAGAAGCTTAAGGACATAGCAATGCAAGTTTACATGTGCAACGAAGCCTGTACCACTAGTCCAGTTTTAGGAAGAGAAATGGCTTTCACAGAATATCTTCTCATACTTCAAATCAGAATAAAACTGTACAAATCTGCTTATATTTTTTTTTATTAAGCAAGATAGGTAATAAAACCAAAACCGGATAAATTTTACTCCTTCAGAAAAAGACCTTGCACAGTCACCAGGCCTTATTGCTTAAAGGAAGAGATCTCTCAGATAAGCTTGTATAAACAAGATGACTATTTTTCAGTGTTATTACATAACAGTGGGTATTTAGGGAACGAAAATACTAGCTTAATATAATGCTGAAATGCCTGGTTTTCTGAGAAGCTCCTGCATGCAGAAATTCTGACTGAAACCTGTAGTGGACAAAGTCTTTTTGATGATATAAACTTGCTGCTTTGTCTTCTTTTTTTCCCCTTATTATTTCAAAATATAGAATATTTCTGTCTATAACCCAGCTTCTGCTTATAGGAAGTGTACTCTATGCACAAGAGAAGAAAAACTCTCTGCCTTGCATGCCCTATATAGAAAAACATGATAAAAATTAAGAAAGTACTGAAGATTTGAAAGTGATCCTGTTGACCAGAGATTACATGTTCCTTAAACATCTGCTTTACCTTCTTGTAATTAACTGTTTCTTTTCTCAGCTCCAGAAATGCCCTGGTTCTTCTCATTCAATGAAATATTAGGATCTTTCAGTGCTTGAATTGCCTAGTGGGTCTGATACAGGCCTGACTTTAACTGGGATGCACATTGAACTATGAATAAGAGCTTTCATGCCTGGAATTTTTCTAAAAACATACTGAAGAGAGAGGTTTCATTCTATAACATCAAATGTATATTTCTACACAATAGAATCGACACAATCAGAAAGATAAAATATATGTTATGTTTTCACCTACTTATATTTGATATTTTCACACTTAAGTTTTCAAACAAACTAAAGTGGAATTATAAGACGTTCAAAACAACAAAGCTATCTGTTCATTCCTATTTTTACATTTTTTAAATAACAGAAATAAAAAACTGGAAGAGTGATGGAGACAGTGTATTTGCAAGCTTAACAACACTGCCAATTAAAAAAAAATTAAATGGTATTAGTAGCTTTGTCAATTAAGCTCAGTATAAGATAATTTAGAAGTGTTACCACGAAAGATCTGCATTGTTGTCAGTTGTATTAACACTGTCAACAATGCAGAAAAGGACACTCAAAATTACAGTATTTTTCTTCAAACTAGTAAATTTATAATTAAAGTACTGTCTATATTTTTGCCAATGACAAATTGTTAGAGAAACAATATAATTGAACAAATAATTGATTTTTGTACATACATTTTTTTGTGCTGAATATTGTGATGGGATTCAAAATTAATCATTTGTATTTGTAATCTTGCACTGCATAGAAATAGACACAACTTCTGGGATTGGTGTACACCACAGCAATTCTGTGCACTGTGTAAGATTTAATGGTCATCTCTGTCTTCATCCAGACAGTCCCCTTCTCTCTTAAACTGTGTATAAGTATAATTTTTTCTTGAGTAATGTGTTTCTCCTGCATCCACAGGCAAACAGATTAAAGAAATGGTATGTGTATTTTTATAAAGAAAAAAATTCCCCATACAAACACTCCTTTCACCAGGGGCTTGAGTGCTAGCTCCAGCTATCATTACTGGTGAAGAATCATGCTCTATGTATAACATATTTTGAAGGTCAGCTCACATGACAAAAATAGTTTGTTTCTGCTCATGAAAAATCCACATCTAGCCTTACACAGGGAAAAAAAATCTGCTTCAGCCAACTAGAGAGGGTGGTTGTCCCATTGGAAACATGCTACTGGCAGGACACTGGAAAGTATTTTCATTGGAAAAAGCCCCAACTGTTCTACTTCCTTAACAGCAAGAAAACACAGTCTTATAATATTAATTATATCTTAATTTTCCAGTATATAATCATACATACAAGTGATACCTTTAATTATATTCTCAAGTTATTTAAGTTACTGTTGAAGTGTAAGATGGAAATATACACAAGATTTACTCACCTGTTCGATAAATTGGCTTATCTCAAGTTACACAGATATATGCATACTATCACTTAAGTATTAATGTTTATTCCTGAAACATTACTGGGAGACTGAAAATACTAGTCCCTGTTCAGTAGTGATGAAAATAAATGGAATACAAAACTTCATGTAAATTAAAAGCTGCAGTACCTGTGAGAACAGTAGCTCTCAGTCGATTGCTTTTCTGCTAATCATTTGACCAGTTCTCTTATGATTTTGTTTATTTGTTTGTTTGTTTTTTCATGGAAAGTTATCTGCTATGTAAAATGAAAAAAAACTCCTGAAACACCCTCTTTATTTCATACCTTCTTACTTATTAGATATCTACAGCAGAGACGAGCACTGATGTTTGAAACAGAATCTGAAACTGCTTAACATTCAGAATAAAGATCTATAAAGTAAGTCTTCAATTTTGGAATTTGTCATCTAATTCGTCCAGTTCGGATGTGTATAAATTTAATCTTTTTTACCATATAAGATTCCATGTAGGATCATAAAATACCAGGCAAATGGTGTTGAGATTCTGGTGTTTAGCATTTAAATCTAAAAGCAATGTATTGCTGTACTAAGCTGCAATTAATTTTATAGGCTTTTTTAATTAAAATTTCTTTTTTGAGGGGGAGGTTTTTTGTTTTTGTTTTTAATAAAGAAACCATAGTCAATATGCTTAAATTTTAAAAAAAAAATCACAGCTGATAGGTGACATAATGAGAAAATGTTACATTCTGAGGTCTTTAATTTGGTCTTTACCATCTTTCTGACACTTCAGAGAACTATCAATTCTCAATATCAGCGTATAAATTCTACTCTTTTAGAAATGTATTAAATTATTCCTTTCACTTCTTGCTGCCCAAACAACTAAGAGGTGTGTTGCAATCTTAGTCTTAAAAGGGTAATAGCTAAGTTGTAACGATATTTCTGGAGTTAAAACTGAGCCTAGCAATCAAGACATAGAAGTAGTAAAAGAAATCATCTGACTACCCTATTTTCTCTGTCTGCTTTTTACATTATATGTGATAACTGATACACTGATGCTATTTGTCTCCTAGAAACACCCACATTAACAAATTCCATCCTAAAGTAATTTTAGGACTAATTAAAAAGTTCAAATTCTTTCTAGAAACTTTGAAGGTCTAAGTTGTAACAGACCTTTCCAAAATACAAGAATACTCTCATAAAAAAACATGCAAACAAATTGAAAATAATGCAACGAGAAACAGGGGTTACAGTGATCTTTAAGTTCAGCCTGTTTATAAAATCAAGAGAAATTAGGTTTTGTATTCTTACATTTATTTTTTTATATCAAAATATGCCAATATACAAAAAAGCACATATAAAGACCCCACTAAAAAAAATACTGTGTTTTTGACCCATAATTCAGAGGATTTTAAGTTAAGACCAATGGAAGAAAGACTTTTATTTTATATAGTAACTGTATATATATATATATATATATATATATATATATATATATATATATAGAGAAAGAATAGCACGTATATATGTAGTTATTTTTTTTATGAGGTCTAATTGAAGAGACATTTTGACAGTTTTATTTACTATTTAAGGCATACTCAGCAGTATGCATTCATAGTGTGAAAACTATTAATATTTATATAAAAAGCACACACACATGCATATATACACACACACACACGTACATATGTTTAAATATATGTACATGATCATAAGAAACAATTTTACAGAAAAAACACAAGCCTAATTAACGTCAGTCTACCACTGTTGCATATTTCCAGATAGTTTTTTTAACATAATAAACTATCAATGATACAAAATCTGCAACTAGGTGAGGGACAACAATGTGAATTCAGAGTTGTAAGTATATAAAGACAAGGGAGAGAGACTTTTTTTTTATATATTATATGTATATATATATATATATATATATATATATATATATATATGTATATATAGAGAAAGAATAGCACGTATTTATGGACTGATTATTTTTATGAGGTCTAATTGAAGAGACATTTTGACAGTTTTATTTACTATTTAAGGCATACTCAGCAGTATGCATTCATAGTGTGAAAACTATTAATATTTATATAAAAAGCACACACACATGCATATATACACACACACACACGTACATATGTTTAAATATATGTACATGATCATAAGAAACAATTTTACAGAAAAAACACAAGCCTAATTAACGTCAGTCTACCACTGTTGCATATTTCCAGATAGTTTTTTTAACATAATAAACTATCAATGATACAAAATCTGCAACTAGGTGAGGGACAACAATGTGAATTCAGAGTTGTAAGTATATAAAGGCATTTCCCAAAATGAAATAGTGTTTAAAAATACATCCTAAAAATATAGGTCAAATTTACTTAAATATATTTAATTTATGTTAATGTATATATGCAGATATTTCAAAGCCAGCCAAGACACTAGGCTCACTAAACTAGTTTTCAGTTTGGGGAATTAATAGAGATTCTAGCTGTTGAAGAATTTTTCTTTTAGCTGTAGAATAAAAAAATAAAGAGGCCAGAGCCATCAACCCATCCAAACAAAGTACAATTCAAAGGAAAAATTTAGGTCAAAATAAAAGAATTACAGGTAATATCAGCTTGTAAACCAAATTCTGTTTTTTAATAAACATGTAGAATGCCTATACGTATTTAATATTAGCGGTTTTTTAATGGCTTACACTGTAAACTTAGTAGCCCAGTGTGGAAATTGCTGTTGTCATCCCTGCGTTCATTGGAATAAAGGTAGAAAGTAAAGAAGGAACACAAAATTTGAGCTGTTGATTAATTTTTTTTTGGCAAAGACAGTGACAACACCCCATCACCTAATAAATAGTATTTTTCTGGTTAGATACCTTCCATAAAGTTTAATTACTTACGCCAAGTCTTCCTTTTGTACACGGGGAAGAAAGGCAAGACATTCATAATAGTAAAAAATCTTCATTTCTTTCCATCTATGTTCTTTTTTATTATTCTTTTTGTTCATGCTGTTAAGGCCAAAGGTAGAGCTGTTCATTAATGTGTGTTTGCACAGCATCATGCACAGGCCCTAATATATATTAAGACCTGTTACCACAATATCACAATAAATTATAACATTAAGGTTTATAGTTTTTATTCTGTAGGCAATAAAGTCAAACATTTCATTTTTTGATTTGTTTCTACTCAGTCTCTTACTGACTATAACTTTGCATGAGAAGGAACACATTATCCCTGTATATAAAATCATTTTGTATAATGAATATATATCCAGGATACTTAAGAGCGCACATCTTTGGATGATCAGGATTATTTATAAATTTGAAAATTTGTATTTATATTATAAAACTTAAAAGAAACACTATAATATTGTCTGAAATAGTTGGGAATACTACATTTATTCCTGAATGGCCAGAATTACTGCTGCCACTTGAAACTGAGGTCTGTCAGCATTCTGTGGTGATTTCTCTAAACATACAATTGACAAATTTTAACGCTACAAAGTAGGAATTAAAAAAGCAATCTAAGATGTTAAAGAAATACCCTGTTCAACCCAATGCAAAGTAGCCTGGATAAACCAAGACTGAACAATATGGAAAAACATAAAAAGAATTAATTCCTTCTCAGTTACTTAGAAAAGAGAATCCTGTATAAGTGACTACAGCAGCATGTTCTGCCACAATTTTTTCATAAACTGAGCCCTGTCAATGACAGCAAAACAGATTGTGTGCATCTGCTGGGAATGAGCCAGATGACAGTGGAAGACACACACATGGATACCTTGGCACAACTACTAAAGAAGTAGAAGAAAAATGGACAGAAAGAAGAAGGAAGTTCTAAACTTTAATTAAAATGGATTTCTAGCAAAAGTGAAGTTATCTAAGAGTCAGTTCCTTTTCTTTAGACTGTAACTCTCTAAAAGCCACTACATATTTATAGTCTACATTGCCTTGTTTACCCTCCATGGTACTCATATGGACACTGTTACCACAGTGCTTTGGTCACAGAGAATTTACCCATTCTACAGACAGGGAATTGATGCATGAGCAAAGTGAAAGCCCCACAGTCATCTAAAAGAGGTTCTTGAAGAGTTGATTCCACACTTCTCAAATTCAAGCTGCCATCACAGACACTAGAATATCCTTCCTCTGCTTAGCTATGCTCTCAGACAAAAGTAGCATTATACCTAAAATCAATACAAAACAAATAACCTAATACTTTAGCATTACAGGACATGAGCCTCTCACAAGTTGAATTAGCATAAATGATGATTGAGTCAGCTTTGCTATTGCTGCTTGCATCTTCTCAAATTTTACTTGAATATATGGATTGACAACCCAAGATGGCTCTAAAAAGAATCAGTGAGTTACAGTTGTCAGTACAGAACTGCCACCACAAATAGTGGTAACTATGTATTCTCACATAAAAGGAGAACCTGATCTTCAGTAATAGTAAAAAGCACTCTCCAGCTATTGAGTTTTCATGGCACCAGAAGTGCAAGCTTATTCTCAGGAAAGAATTCAGAAATTCTGATGAGTCTGTAAAATCTTTTTTCAGCTGTAAAGTAAATAACATTGTTGCCCTTTTTGTTAATTGAAGATAAACTAAATACTTGAAGGTAGACCAAATAAACTTGCTCATCCCTCCCTCTCTCCCTCCCTCCCTCCCTGCCTTTTTGAAGAATATAGTGTTCCAGTAAAAAGGACATACAAACTCTTCTGACTTTTGTTGTAATGTTTTACACACTTTTGTCTTATAATTCAGGAATAAAATTGGACTGCCAGCTGAGTAAAGATTCACACACCACCTAATGGTTTGAGCACCTTAAGTAAATGAAGCACCTAGAAGTCTATGAGGCCAGCAGTCTCAGCCTGTATATATTCCATCTACAGTGATTATTTGGTACTCTGAAAGTACTTCAGAATCAGATTAGAAAAATTGAATTATTTGGACTTTATGAAACTCATACAAATTGTTACAATTAACATCTAGCAGACAGAGGCTGAGGTATACTTTCCTAATCTGAGAACAGCTCTAGAAAAGCATAAAATGTACCTTCACATTCCATCTCATTTCAGGATGTGTGAATGGCAAGCACACACGTACACCCAAGAGGGACTTAGAAAACTGCTTAAATCTGCTTATAATGCTCTTGATCAAAGAAGTGGTACATCTTTATACATTCTTCCCAGGGTGGTCCAGAAGAGAAGATAAGAAGATCTTCTTTTGAAATGTTCTATTCAAATGGTACCTTTGTTTCTAATGAGTCTGGAAAAAGAGCCGGAGTGGAACTGAGAAAAAGACGTGGATGTTAATTAACAGCATGAATCCTGTATATCAAGCAGTTTTTAGTTGGTCATAAAGTCAATGATGTTATGCTAGAATACACGAGCAAAGGACATAGTGTCATATATTACTTATGTCTTAAATACTCTTAAATGAATACATTATTATATTTTGATGTAAGTTCTCTTCATTAGAAGAGATCAGAACTTCTAAATTATAGTAAAAGAGAAGGAAAAAGTAGCATGTTTTTATAACTTATGAGCAACTTCAAGCTCTTCGATAAATACTAATCAAGACAGAATATCAGCACAACTTTTTAACTGGAATTAACTCTTCATTAATTCAAGCATAATAATGTGGTCATTAAATCAGCTTTTGACTCACACCCACATATTCAACAGGCACATTAACTATACAAGAAAATGACTGAAGAGTCATGCATGCTCGGCCACAAGGTCTTTCCTAAAAGAGCACCCAAACTCTAGGTGTGAAGATGAGAGGAAAAAATGCTTATTTTGGAACTATTTTATCTCTTATAGGTTTATGAAACAGTCTTAGGTAGACTGAGAGATTTAGCACACCCTGGAGCTGTAATTTCTGTTTCAGCCAACCCATAATCAGTTCATTACTCACAGCATGCCCACTGTCCTCATATTCAAACATCTCTTCATGTTTCTAACTCCTATCCTAGATTTCAGAGCTTCGTTAGGCATGGTATGTATCTGTTCAAAAGCAAACTCAAAATGAAAGAATGAGGTCAATAAAAATTCTGAAAAACTGTCACAGAGGTATTTATTATCTAGTTTTATGTATTTAGATGAACACACTTACAATTATAAAGGTAAAATTGAAAGGACTATTTTCTTATGCATTGTATTTTATAAAGTAAAATCCAACTTTTCAGACAATGCAATAGCAACAATGGCATTGAATTGGTTGTTTAAACTGGCTATAAGTTTAAACAGACAATGCAATAGCAACAATGGCATTGAATTGGTTGTTTAAACTGGCTATAAGTTTAAACAGAAATATATATTACAGACTAGAAACATATAAAGGTTTTGGTATTTTTTGGTATGAGAGGTAAAAGAGATTGAGAGACTAACTCAATAGGTAAGGAACTATGGCATTCCAGCAAAACATTACCCAGTTACAGTCCTTCCTTTGATGACTATTTTATTACCTATACAAAAATGTACAAATACACATTTGGAAACTGAGACAAGCTTTCTCCCACAATGTTCTATAACCAACAGAAAAGAGAATTTACCATTAACTGCTCTATATTAAGAGTAGAAAGTCTTTCCAATCACGTTTCTCAACTCTTGAATTTCTACCATAAAAATTAAACCAGTGTTCATAAAGAATTTATAGATTTAATTTGGGATGTGAATTCCAGTAGACAACAGGACGCAGCAAAGTAAAACTTAAATTCCCCTTTTAGATGTTGCCCTAAGTCTTTTCTAATTTTCTGAACACATCCCAACACAAATGTGAGGTTGATAATTTCATGCTACACAGGCATTACATTGAAAATTTACATTTGGGGGTTATGAGTCCCTTTTCTTATACTGTTTTTCTTGTGCTGTTTTTCAGCTTCTGCCCTTCACTTGCAATTTTTTTGCCTTGCATCTGTTGCCTTAAATAAAGATCATGTATCTGTTGGGAGATGATGATTACTGAATTGTACATTATGGATAAATATACATTTTTAAAATACTCCCAATATTTTAAAGTTTTTGGAATTCATATTGAAGGCTTCTCCTCCCTAGTATCCTTGGCAATTGAAACTGATGGGTTGCATTTGGTGCTGACAATTGTTGCATTCAAGAAACTTGTTTAAATTTGGAGCACTCTTTGAGGCTGAATGTGCTGGATGCTCACCTTTTCAGTAGAAAACCTGTATTTTAAATATCTACTTTACATCATGGTCACAGAAAATGTTTTTTTTGAACAGACATAAAAGTGGGTATTTATTTAACTAGTCTGCATATAAGAATAGGATATAGACCAACATATGAAAATAGAATGCTGATGATTCTTCCTTTCACATATTATCATCATCAGAATCTCACAAATCTATACATCTTTCGATTCCTTACGATTTTAAAGAGGCTTTTTAAATATATCCACATTGTATTTTGAATTTATATCTATCAAACATGGGAGTTGTATTTTTAGAATGGTGTTTAATTCATAGAGCAATCTTCTGATCCATTAGTGGAATAATTTCCTCTTTCTGATCATATCTGGAAAACAGTAAAGCAAAAGGGGAGAACAAATACTTTCTTCCTGACAATTTTCAAAATTATTTTTTATCAGAAATCTATAGAAGTGTCCTGTTGGAGTAGCCACAGACGTGATGGTCTCATGACAGGTTTGCTTATAATCATATAGATAAAAATGTGGTAGAACAGAGTTCTACTGTTTTATAGTGGTGACTTTTAGAGACTTTTAACAGAAAGCAGATCAAGAAAATCATCATATAGGTGACAAGTACTGCTAATACAAACAGGGCAGAATGTCTTTCTTTTTTTGTCATGGCTCTGTTGCATGGCATATTGCTTCTCACTGTTATATATTTATTAAAAAAAAAGTTAAATAAAACCACACCCTCCCTCCATTAAGAAATACTTGCACCCTCAGTTATGTGTACTACAACATGATTATTGTATTTGCGGGGTGCCTCGTGGCAGGAAGGAATGATGAATCTGACTCCATGTTCTTACAAGGCTAATTTATTATTTTATGATACTATATTATATTAGATAATACTAAATGAAACTATAGTAAAGAACACAGAAAGGATAGTTACAGAATGCTAAAAAATAATAATGAAAACTCGTGACTCTCTGCAGAGTCCAAAACAGCTTGGCACCAATAGGCCAATAAGTCAAAACAATTCACGTGAAACCACTGAGACAATCACCTGTCAGATAAACAATCTCCAACCACATTCCAAAGCAGCAAAACACAGGAGAAGCAAATGAGATAATATTGAAATTCCTTTTTCTCTGAGGCTTTTCAGCTTCCCAGGAGAGAAATCCTGGGCAAAGGGATTTTTCCAGAAAATATGACTGTGACACATCATTAGAAATTTAGGGAAATAATCCTAATAGCATTAAAAATATGATGAAAAATTAGTAATTTTTCTATGGATTGCTTTTTATCTGTCATAATAATGTGTATTAACACTATCACCGCTGTATTACCTCTCATGCAATTTTAAAAAATATTAAATTCCAGAAAAGATAGCACTCAGTAAGGATGCTTTCTAGATGACTACTTTGCATGTCTCCACTCAGTGTAATACTAAGCCTGTGACACTATCTACTGGAAGCATAACTGAACTAAATGCAAGGTTCTCAATGAGGATTTAAGTACTGCAACATGTATTGAAAATAGGTTTTCATTTTGCTTTGTCAATAACAATTTTTCAAAAGCCCACAAAAATGTTAGTCCAACTTGTATGCCAGTATTACAGGAAATGTAGAAGATCATTCTTCTCTTTCTATCCTATGCATAATCTTTTTTATGGCAGCATCAACAATAAAATGGAAACACCAGATCCTATTGTTTTCCCTGTGAAGATATACAGATTTCTACTAGCTATAATTATGGGAAGTTTGCTTCAGTTAGGTAGCTAGGCAATCATTTAATCGTGTTTTAAGAGTAAACTGGAAAACTTTTTTTCCATTTATTTTTTTCCAACTTATTTTCCACTTGATGTGGAAAACATGTTTTGAACATAAATTTATATTATTTTCAATTGTTAACTACACATCATCGAAGAGTACTAGTGTGGGTTATAATTTTTCAAATCTGTATACTCAAGAGCATGAATAAAATTTGTTTTAGTTTTAAATGACCATACTAGTACATAGTCTTACCAATATTTACGGTCATATTTATAATATCTAAAATTTGTCTATGTATGTTTTGGACAAAGGTATAAATTTTGTATGCCATTGCATGAATGCATTTTCTGGCTCAGTATTCTGAAACAAAAAATGTGTTATGAAGAAGATTAGTAAGTATGCAAATTCACACATTTCATAGATTGCACTGGGGATGTAACATGGATTTTTTTTCTCATTCTTCTGCTATATGTCCATTTTATACACATAAAGAAGATGATGGGAAAACTGATGATTTCTCCAAGATTCTGTCAGCAAAATCAAATCAAATTTGTCTCATCAAATACTGTTCCAAAGATCTTTCCTTACAGCTATACAAAATATTTCAATCAACAATCCAACAAGACCATTGCCCTATGTGTGCAACAATTAAAGATTATTCACAGCAAGATTAATTACACACACTTCAACAGGAGCTTTTAATGAAAAAGTTCTGCAAGACTAAGGTTGTAAGTTTGACTAACATGACCAACTCTCCTTCATTGTATTCCATCTTAACAAATATACCATATCTGTGTTCTTCTAAGCTCCCTAAAAGCCTTCCTCCTCTATTGCTGTTCTCCCATTCAGTGTAAGCAGAAACACATTCAGGACACAGTTGGACAGACATAAAGCAATCCTGAGGCTAACTCTAGAGAACATACTGTCTCCTGCTGAGTTCATAGAATATCCCCAGAATATTAACATTTTACAGTAGTTGCCTAGGCATTCACATGGGATATGGCCATCAAAAGGGAGTTTTTGGCAGTAAAATTCTGAGGCTAAAATGCCAGGCTGAAGGGGACACATGGGTCAGCATTACAGGATGGCCACAGAACCTCAGTGTCCTGTTGTTTGTCTACAATGCCCTCCCCTCCTAGCCCCCTTTTTAGGGACAGCTTTTGCACCCAACTCCGATGAAATTATTTAAAACAGTGTTCATTGAGAAGTTCATATTGAATATTTAAATGAAAAGTGCTGCAGTCTAACTTCTTACAGGGTGAATATGTTATGAAACATAATTTCTCTGATAATCCAACAATATCTAAACAATCTGGTTAAAAAATGCACTATTATTTAAAATATAATGTCATATCAAAATTTTTTTCACTAAGAATTTTATCCAAAATTACACAAATAGCACATGCTAATCTGTTACTAGGTTTTCTATACTACTAAAATTAATGTTCCACGTGGATAGTGTTCTGCAATTTGTCAACTTGTTGGTTTATAAACACTTTCACAAGCCTGCTTGCCCTTTGTACATACTTTGCTAACAGCTATTGATTGACAACTTGAAAGTAAATTTAACTGAGCGTGGTTTCCACAAGTGGTATGCACCCTATATCTATAAAAGCAAACATAAATAATGTTGTTTCTAATTCAGTTCACTTTGACCTTGAGATTACAATATGAAAAATAAGATATGGTAATATTTAAGGTGAATTCCTGCACTGGTATTTGGTTAATAATTTTTATGATAAACTTCATTTAATCAGTTATACATTTGAAGAAATAAGAATAAGATAAGAATTGTTAGATTTGAATCTAAGTTTCATATCAGCTTTATAACCTGGGAAAAGAAGACAGAGGAGCTGTATGCCATCTGTTCAATTCTGTTCTTAATCTGTGGGCTGCCTTATGGTTAGCTTAAATGAAGGAAGCAGATACTGACTGACTTCCAGGACCAGCTGTACTGGCCAAGATCTCTGGAGCTCTCTTCACTCGAGCTCTTGCAGGCTTCCAATATTGGGGAAGGTGCCAGAAGGCAGAAATAAGTACATCTACCCTGCTGGAGCAGGTGGCTGCTAAAACACCTGTTCAGGGGATTACAAATGGGG